TTTCATGACTTTCATCTTCTCTTCACTTTCGCCAATTACTGAATGCTGAGCTGAACTACGATCCAAAGAAAATCAAAATACACTTGTTCGCATCTACAAATTACACTTGCTTTAATTGTTCACCGAATTTGTCGTCTAGTTATAAGCTCTCGATCAAATGCTTGTCCAGATTCATATCCAGATTCAAGGCGTGTTCCATGATATTAATATTATACGAGGACATAGCCTCCTCCGCAGGCATCTCACCCGACGAATCGGGTGGTGGGAAAATATTATACGAGAATAAAGTACTGAGCTGTATTAGTGACACAAATTTTTGCATAGTACCTTAATAATGAACGGAATGAACTTCGTTTTTTTCCTATTAATTTTCGTATTTTATAAATCTCGTTATAAATACAACAAAAAGCTACTTTGATAAGCCACAACGCCCGCTCGATTTACTATAATAGTATAGGTGTTCATGCAGTTCCGGGGTTCATTGCTTCCGGGGAGCAGTTGAAAGTCTGCCCGAATTTTTATGCAGGGTTGTAATGAAATAACCTGAGGCCGGTTGTTCGGTCGTTTATGAAATGTGTGAATCTGTTATTTAATTTTGACTTATCCACCGTTTAAGCTAAATGGGCTTCGAACAACCGCGGCGCCAGAATTTAGTGTATCTTCTGTTAAATCTACCCGAATTTTATGGAATGTTCCTAGCATTTGCCTGAATTTCCATGGTTTTCTAGGGGGGGGCAACTGCCCCTCTACCTGGTACGCCGATATAATAGCAAAGTGATCACAGTCCGTCTGTTATACACGTCGTCGGTACATTATCTCCACTGTAATAACCTTTTCTTAAACAGTCCTTTTCTTGTTCAGGTTTGAATTGTAGTATTATAACAAACTGCAATAATGTTCTTAATTGTTCGTCAAATGGAGATTGTGTCGATATGGATGTGTGTAAATGTCACATTGAATATAGTGGATCTGCATGTAACGAGACCTCGTGCGAACCTCTCGGATATTGTTCAGGTATACCAATTTATTTTCAAAATTTGTGTTAGCATTATACTGAATTGAAAACTGCAAACTTATCATGATAGTAATTACTATGTATACTTATGTATACTATAGTCTCATGATAGTTAAAGATGTTACCATGTTTTAAATAATAGAATAATATTTGCAAACACATTTTAAAAATATAGAAAAATATAGAATTCGCAAATAAATTTTAGTAATTGCCATATGACGATTAGCTTTATAAAACCAATAAAACTACCTAAACAATCTCACATGCACAACGAACGTTAGCAATATACGTACAACATATTCACGAACAATTACGCGGATTTCATAAATCATGACATGTTTTGGGTATAATAGTGGTTTTTCAGAATTAAACATTACTCGCGGCTATTATGATCAACATCGTATATGGGTCGATCGGAACTTTTTATTGGCGGACACTTCGCGAAACAGTATTGGTAGGGAATTGATAACATAAAGTTTTAAGGGACGCTTAGCTAAGATTTCAGAAAACAAAAGGTGGTTTTGTTGCTTGAAATCTTAGTTAAGCTTTCCCAGGGCCGTAACGAAGAGCCAGCCCATTTTCCACCATACTATATAGGCGAATTTGTTCGTGCGAAGCGAAAAACAAATCTTGCATAGCATTGTGATTGGTTAGCGAAAAAATTCGCCGCGAAAAAGTTGGATCAGTTCCTACTTTTTCACTGTCCGCGCGAACAAATTCGCCTAGTGGAAAGTGGGTGTAAAGCCAAGGGGTGTAGTATCGCATTTCCTGAGGCATTTGCCGACAACATTTCGCCGCTAATTAATGTTTCTCTCCCCAAAATTGTTGACGAGCGGGGAGGGGATGGGGAGTTAAAAATAAAATCTGTCCTGACATTATCATTCACTTTTAGTTAACGTACATTATTCGCATAATGTTTCGTTATATAATATTATTTTAAATCTCTCCACAGTTTTGCTATAACTATTACTTGTTAATCCATTTCACTCAAATATTTTAGTTCTTTTTCTTCCTCTCCAATTCGTATTTTGCCGACCATACGAAAACAATTTGCCGACAAATCCGTCATTTTACCGAAAAGATTTTTTCATGCAAGAGGGTCCTCCCCCCCCCCTAGCGACGGCCCTGAGCGTTCTTTAAATATTTTTGGCTTTGAATTTGAGGCAATTAGATTTATATCTTACCAATGATTTTTTACTGCAGAAAAAATCCCAGATTTGTTACACAGTTATTCAGCTATCAGTCAAAGGGTTTTTATATAAAGTGCTCCATCAACGGCTCAGATCCTAATGTTTGGTCTACTAGTATATATAGTTCTGTAAAAAAATTGATAAAGATTAAGATTGAGAAAACTGTCATACATTATCAGGGGTTTTAATTAACTGCAAATTTACAGTTGAACTTTTCCCTGAGATATGAAGTGGCTGTCCGCAATACGGCAATAGGGGGAGAGCTCAATAATGCATTTTATTATTTTTCCCTTTTGGAAATGTTAATTGTGTTTCTGTGGTGCCCCCTCTAAATGTGAAAAGGTTTTTAGAATGCCCGCGCTACTGGCATTGCATGCATAATCATATACTCATGTACCATAATAAAATGTCACTTTCGTAGGAAACGGTAGATGTATTGCATTTGATACCTGTGAATGTACCAGCGGCTGGTCTGGGCCAAGTTGTTCAATCCACGACTGTAACATAGTTAACGAATGTTCCAAGAAGGGCCAATGTGTTGGGCCTAATGTTTGTCAATGTTTTGGGGGATACAAAGGATTTGATTGCAGTATTTTATTGGATTGTTCTCATTTGAACAACTGTAGTGAGAATGGAATATGTGTGTTTAGCAATGACGTGACAGGGGACACAAATATTTGCAGGTAAACCATTTATAATAGTCAGTCGATCTATTTTTCTCTCTGCATGGACGTTTGCATATCTTTCTGTCTGTCTGTTTGTCTTTACATCCGTATAAAATTAATATCTCTCGTCTGCACCTTTTTTGTACGTTAATAGCATGCATAGCCCATGCAATGACATGCACGAATGTTTATCCGCCATCAAAAACCGACGAATTTATTTCAGATTAAAGTTTCGTCGAGTTTTCTTCCAAATAATTAAGGAAAATGCATGACAGTGTTTCTGAAAAAGAAATGCAAAATTTAACTTTCCTTCCAAAATGCCGCCAAACAGGGTTTGTCATCATATGGTCATTTATTAGTTATATGCATGCATGTTCCGAAAATCGTGTGGCATGTCAAACCGTCAACACGTACTCGATCAGAAAGTTTTTGAAATGCTCAGGGACGTAACTAGAAGCGATAATTGCGCGGGGGGCGCATATTTTATATATTCATGTTTACATTTACCGTAAAAACAATCGCTTTCAAAAGAAATCCGTCGGACGGAACACAAACATATGAGTATGCACCCCCCCCTCCAATTATCGCTCTAGTTATGTCCCTGGAAATGTTACATGCATGCATGCATATATGCATATCCAAGCATAACCTAGACTTGCTCCAAGTCTCTCTTTCAATGTCATATAGTATCGATCCACTATAGTGTACCTTACATGACGTGGCATGGAGAGGCGGAGCGAGAAAGAGAGACTTGTCAACTTCGGAAAATCTCGGTTCAAAACTGAACCGAAAATGCAAGCCTTGCTGTAATTGTTTTTCTTCAGTTTCTTTCTGTATTATTTACTATAATGGAACTCATGTTATTTACACTGTGCTAGATGAATACATACAAACACTGACAGAAAACAATTAAAGCAATCCTTGTATTTTCGGTTCAGTTTTGAACCGAGATTTTCCGAAGTTGACAAGTCTCTCTTTCTCGCTCCGCCCCTCCGTACTACGTCATGTAGCGTACACTATAGTGGATCGATACTAAATGACAAAAGAAAGACTTGGAGCAAGTCTAAGCATAACCATGCTCCCCATGCATTGTCTAGCGATCGTAAATGTATCTAAATTGAACTAGTGTTTACATCATTATGTTCAAATTTATTTTGATACTAAAATGTAAAATATTTCCATTACAATCAATTACTACCAATGCCGTGGTGTTATTATTGTGCCAGATACGTATAAATTAAATTCGTCAAACAGGATTGATTTATTTCGCAAATATAATAAGCTAAATAAATAAAAAACGCCAAAAATAATCAGTGTTGCATAACGGCATCTTCAAGTGCAAAATGTCTGTTTTTGCAGTCCAAAGGTATAAACCGTATTCTAATTTCATATAGATAGGTTTAGCCATAGATATCTTATATACACTAGATAGCGCATCTCTTTTATTAAAAATGAAGCCAAGAATATTCCAGCGGTTACCCCCATTTGAATAGATGGCGGCCATATTGGTCGTTCCCACTTGCTAATAAATTATTAAAAACAACAATAACTTTCATCATTTGAATAGTTTAAAAACGTATTTGGAATAGGGTTAACTTAATGTTTAAGTTCCCTGTTTAAGAAATAGAAAACATACGAATCTTCTCATTTCATGGGAACGACCTGAGACTGCAATCACGGCTTCAATTTTTGAATTGCAAAATAATTAGATGCACTATCTAGTGTATATAAGATATCTATGGGTTTAGCTATCTATATATAACACGTTCTACGATAGGGTTGCATATTCTATTTAGCCTAATTTTTAGATAAATGCCTACATATCAGCTCATATCGTCAAAAAACGGGCATAATTTGTTTCCGTCTTGCAGAATCAAGCTAATTTATTAAAAATAGTCCAGAAAAATATCAATTCTGGACCTATTGCAGGGGAATGATCAAATCTGTCCAAATGGGATAGATCCAATGCAATTGCAAAATATTTATGAATGAGTAATTGGAGAAGTGGTTTTGAATGCGTTCAACAGCACTCGTTTTTGAATATATCGAAAACCGCCTAACATAACATAAAAAACCTAAACAGTAAATACACACTTTGACTTGACAACAGATTAAAAAAAACTTTATTTACCCACTTTATTAAGATACATAATATACAATAAAGGCAATAATATACAAGGAATCTATGGTACGAATATGCTATAATTTACAATAATTTTGGTTAAGATAGCATCAGCTAAGGAAAATGGAAATCAATTTGCCGATTTTAGCGCTAATGAAAATGGTTTTGGATGCATCCAAAACCAATCCCTAGACAAATGCAAACAAATTAGGCAATTCATAGCTCATGAGAATGGTTTTGGATGCGTCCAAAACCAAACCTATAGGAAAATGCAAATCAAATTACCGATTTTAGCGCCAATGAAAACGGTTTTGGATACATCCAAAACCAATCCCTAGAAAAATGCAAACAAATTAGGCAATTTATAGCTCATGAGAATGGTTTTGGACGCGTCCAATACCAACCCTGTAGGAAAATGCAAATCAATTTGCCGATATGTCCAAAACTATCCTAGAGAAATGCAAACCAATTCGCTGATTTTAGCAAAAAATCTCCAGACAAATGAAAACAAATCAGCCGATTTTAGTGCGTTTGGAAATGGTTTTAGATGCATTCAAAACCAATCTCTAAACAAGTGCAAACAAATTGGCCAATTTATAGCTCATGAGAATGGTTTCGGACGCGTCCAAAACCAACACTGCGACAAAATGCAACTCAATTGACCAATATGTCCAAAGCTATCCTGGAGAAATGCCAACCAATTCGCTGATTTTAGCAAAAAATCTCCAGACAAATGAAAACAAATCAGCCGATTTTAGTGCGTTTGGAAATGGTTTTAGATGCAATCCAAAACCAATCTCTAAACAAGTGCAAACAAATTGGCCAATTTATAGCTCATGAGAATGGTTTTGGACGCGTCCAAAACCAACCCTGCAGGAAAATGCAAATCAATTTACCGATTTTAGCGCTAGTGAAAATGGTTTTGGATGCATCTAAAATTTATAGCTCATGAGAATGGTTTCGGACGCGTCCAAAAACCAACCCTGCGAGAAAATGCAAATCAATTGACCAATATGTCCAAAACTATCCTGGAGAAATGCCAACCAATCCGCTGATTTTAGCAAAAAATCCCCAGACAAATGAAAACAAATCAGCCGATTTTAGTGCTTTTGAAACTGGTTTTAGATGCGTCCAAAACCAATCCCTAGACAAATCAGCCGATTTTAGTGCTTTTGAAAATGCTTTTAGATGCGTCCAAAACCAAGCCCTAGACAAATTTGCCAATGTATAGCTCATCAGAATGGTTTTGGATGCGTTAAAAACCAACCCTGCAGGAAAATGCAATTCAATTCACCAATTTTAGTGCTAATGAAAATGGTTTTGGATGCATCTAATACCAATCTCTACACAAATACAAACAAATTAGCCAATTTATAGCTCATGAGAATGGTTTCGGACGCGTCCAAAACCAACCCTGCTAGAAAATGCAAATCAATTGACCAATATGTCCAAAATGGAGAAATGTAAACCAATTCGCTGATTTTAGCAAAAAATCCCCAGACAAATGAAAACAAATCAGCCGATTTTAGTGCTTTTGAAAATGGTTTTAGATGCGTCCAAAACCAATCCCTAGACAAATTTGCCAATGTATAGCTCATCAGAATGGTTTTGGATGCGTTAAAAACCAACCCTGCAGGAAAATGCAAATCAATTCACCAATTTTAGCGCTAATGAAAATGGTTTTGGATGCATCCAAAACCAATGCTTAGACAAATGCAAACAAATTAGCTAATATATAGCTCATGAGAATGGTTTTGGACGCGTCCAAAACCAACCCTGCGAGAAAATGCAAATCAATTGACCAATATGTCCAAAACTATCCTGGAGAAATGCAAACCAATTCGCTGATTTTAGCAAAAAATCCCCAGACAAATCAGCCGATTTTAGTGCATTTGGAAATGGTTTTAGATGCAATCCAAAACCAATCTCTAAACAAGTGCAAACAAATTGGCCAATTTATAGCTCATGAGAATGGTTTTGGACGCGTCCAAAACCAACCCTGCAGGAAAATGCAAATCAATTTACCGATTTTAGCGCTAGTAAAAATGGTTTTGGATGCATCTAAAACCAATGTCTAGACAAATGCAAACAAATTAGCCAATTTAGAGCTCATGAGAATGGTTTCGGACGCGTCCAAAACCAACCCTGCGAGAAAATGCAACTCAATTGACCAATATTTCCAAAGCTATCCTGGAGAAATGCCAATCAATTCGCTGATTTTAGCAAAAAATCCCCAGACAAATGAAAACAAATCAGCCGATTTTAGTGCTTTTGAAAATGGTTTTAGATGCGTCCGAAACCAATCCCTAGACAAATTTGCCAATGTATAGCTCATCAGAATGGGTTTGGATGCGTCAAAAACCAACCCTGTAGGAAAATGCAATTCAATTCACCAATTTTAGCGCTAATGAAAATGGTTTTGGATGCATCCAAAACCAATGCTTAGACAAATGCAAACAAATTAGCTAATTTATAGCTTATGAGAATGGTTTCGGATGCGTCCAAAACCAACCCTGCGAGAAAATGCAAATCAATTGACCAATATGTCCAAAACTACCCTGGAGTAATGCAAACCAATTCGCTGATTTTAGCAAAAAATCCCCAGACAAATCAGCCGATTTTAGTGCATTTGGAAATGGTTTTAGATGCATCCAAAACCAATCTCTAGACAAAGGCGAACAAATTAGCCAATTTAAAGCTCGTGAGAATGGTTTTGGATGCGTCCAAAACCAACCCTGCAGGAAAATGCAAATCAATTCACCAATTTTAGCGCTAATGAAAATGGTTTTGGATGCATCTAAAACCAATCCCTAGACAATTGCAAACAAATTAGCCAATTTATAGCTCATGAGAATGGTTTTGGACGCGTCCAAAACCAACCCCTGCGAGAAAATGCAAATCAATTGACCAATATGTCCAAAACTATCCTGGAGAAATGGAAACCAATTCGCTGATTTAGCAAAAAATCCCCAGACAAATGAAAACAAATCAGCCGATTTTAGCACTTATAGAAATGGTTTTGGATTCGTCCAAAACCAATCCCTAGACAAATGCAAAGAAATTTGCCAATTTATAGCTCATGAGAAAGAAATGCGAACAAATTAGCCAATTTATAGTTCATGAAAATTGTTTTAGATGCATCTAAAACCAATCCTGTAGGAAAATGGAAGTCGATTGACCGATGTGCCCAAGACTAATCCTAGAGAAATGCAGACAAATTCACTGATTTTAGCAAAAAAAACCCAGACAAATCAGCCGATTTTAGCGCTGATGGAAATGGTTTTGGATGCGTCCAAAACCGATCTCTTGGATGCATCCCAAACCATTTTAAATCGGTAAATTGATGTCCATTTTCTTTTGGATCGGTTTTGGACGCATCCAGAACCATCCTCATGAGCTATAAATTTGCTAAGTTGCTTGCATTTGTCTAGGGATTGGTTTTGGACGCATCCAAAACCAATTTCATTACCGCTAATATCGGTAAATTATTTCCATTTTCTTATATGATTGGTTTTGGATGCATCCAAAACCAATCCCTAGACAAATGCAAACAAATGAGCCAATTTATAGCTCATGAAAATTGTTTTGGATGCATCCAAAACCAATCCCTAGACAGATGCAAACAAACTAGCCAATTTATAGCTCATGAGAATGGTTTTGGATGCGTCCAAAACCAATCCTATTGGAAAAGGGAAATCATTTAGAGATTTTAGCGCCAATGAAAATGGTTTTGGATGCATCCAAAACCAATCCTAGACAAATGCAAATAAATTTGGCGGTTTCACAGTTTACGAAAATTGTTTGGGTGTGTCCAAAACCAATTTGATAAGAATATGGAGACTAATCCACCAATTTTATGTAAGTGATTATGAAAATGGTTTTGGATGTATAGAATTAATTATATAAGCTGTTATAAAAACCGTTAGTGATATACTTATAGTCAAGGTGGAACAGCAATCAGTCTGTGTCTTTTGCTTTCTGGCTTTTCATAAAATGGCGAATCTGCCTCCTTGCATCTGTGTGCAACTTGGAATTCGAGTGAAGGTGGAAGCCCGGCAGATAAACACATTCCTTTGGCAATTTATAATTCCAAGGCAGTTTTTCATTTGTCAATGACAATAAAGATGGAACATCTTTCAAAACCGATAAATCCTGCAAAGAAAGTTAAGAAGCACATTTATCTCTCAAGTATATACATACCGTACAGTATCATAGACTGTTTTTACTTCACATGGTTTCTCAAACCTCTTACTGGCTTGTACAAAACCAGGCAGACAATTAACAGAAAGAAAATATATTAATACATACTGTAGTACATACATATAGTATGAGGAATTAAATGATCTGGTTTCTTGCACTTCACTTGGTGGTATTAATATTTGAATGCTGTTCTTAGGGTTTGTAATCCAAGTGAATATATATATATATATATTTATTATATATCAATAGTCAAAGTCGCATTTTTCTAGTGTTTTATTGGTTGAGAGCATATCACGTGAGAGTGACGAAATTAGGCTGTCTCCCTCGCAACAGCGCGAGAGGGAGATAATACGTTATCCACCGGCGAATAACAAAAAAAATCACGTGCGCCATCACGTGAAGGTGCGACATTTGGACATGCCTAGTAAGTAATTAAAACTTTCGCTTTAAGTAACTGCTGCAGTGTAGCCAGTGTTTAATATAACGTTTTAAAAATAAAATATTTCATGTATTGACGTTCATTTGTTCTTTAATTTGTTGTTTCTTTGACTATTGATATATAATAAAACACTTATTTACTGAGACCTCGGGAAAGCAGTGTGTTTTGTGGACCCTCGACCGTCGATGTTTCCCTCGGCTTCGCCTCGGGAAACATCGACGGTCTCGGGTCCACAAAACACACTGTTTCCCTCGGTCTCAGTAAATAAGTGATATATATATATATATATATATATATATATATATATATATATATATATATATATATATATATATATATATATATATATATATATATATATGATAGGTTTGTGTATACGAAACGCAAAGAGTGCTCAATATCATAAAGATAGAGCAAATGTAGAATTTCGCTTACCTCAAAATTCCGCAACAGTCTGTTTCATCAGTAAAGAATCATCAGGCGGTATGACAAGTTTCGAAAAATAGGGCTGCTTATATGTGTTTTGGCCGGAACGTGGGGGTGTGTGGGTGAAACAAAGCATGCATTCATCTATTGTTTGCGTTGTTTACGCGGAAATGCCTAATCGAATTGTGGGAGTGTATTGTTTGCGTTGTTTACGCGAAATTTCTTCCTATGTCTGCACGTAGATATAATTTCCATTCTTTTATTGAGTAAACGGTTTTGGTTTTCTTTCAAAATACAAAATTTTTCCTCTAAACATAAATTACATCGTTTTGATCCTCCCGTATACGAAATAGCGCGTTTTAAAATTTGCCAATTGATATTAAAATCTTTCTTGCTATCTTTCAATGTCCAAATATATTTCGAAAGTTCAGTTTTGTTTGAGTACTCTTTATGCTCGAAAGTATAGTTATGGTTAGCCAAACGCTCTTTAAATGTAGTTGATGTCATGCCAATATAATTCATGATCGTGTTAGGGTTGCTTGTTGTGACTGTTGCTTTGTATACTATGTCCTTAGTCATGCATTGTTTCTGAAGTGGGCATATTGCGTTTTCCGAACAACTGCAATTGACAGTGCCCTTGCCCTGTGCCTTGTTCTTCCTAGCTATATGTGCATTGTGCTTAGTGATTATAGACTTAACATTGCTCGTGCAGCTATAACTTACTTTTACTGTATTTCTGTTAAAGATCTTATGCAGCTTGTGGTGCGAAGGAAAGTGCTTGTCGATAAGGTTAAGAAAATTACGCCCTATATTAGTGCTGACATTCATGCTAAATGGT